TCACGTGTGGAACTTTTGTCAACGCATATATTTTCCGATGAATAATTCGCATAAATCCAAATAAAAACAACTTTACATAGATGTAGTTATTCGAGTCATTAGTTATAACGACATGATACGAGAAATTTAGTCTATAAATTTTATGCGCGAGCGGTAAATTCGAATAGCGATCCTCGAGCCAAAAGTTGGTGCGAAAAGTTGGTTCTCAAGTGCACATCGTTAATAGGTCATTACGCAAGCGTAATGGAAATCGATAATTAATTGATCCGGTGCAGCTACGCGACCCTTTCGCTAAGGATGCTAATTGACTCTTGAATATTTATGATTAACAAATTAGAGTAGCATGTTGCAGCTCACATAATCTCGGATTCCGAACGTGCCTAAGCTGTATTTAAAGAACATATTGATACTTTACATAACATTTTTAATTCATTCACAGCCGAGGTTAAAATTCACGCTTGAAATAGGTGCAGCAGGTGACAAACTAAATTTCTTGAATGTCACTGTTATCAAAAACAATAATATAATAGAGTTTGATTAATTTTATAAACCAACAGTTTCTGAAAGGTACCTCAATTTTATGTCGTCACATCTGCTTTCACAAAAAAAAGAGCAGTAATTATGGGCGTTGATAGAGCTCTTTTCTCTTCTATCAGATTCTCGTCTATCCAAAATTTTACAACAGAAATCTTGAATTTATAGTTGGAACTTTTTTAATTAATGGCTATCTACTGAATTTTATTTTTGACACAATTAATAGATGACTAAAATCACTTTTTTACAAATAGACCCTTAAAAATTCCAAAATGCAAAAACAGTATAGAAATAGATAAAGCAGTGAAATGGTTTACAATGCCTTACATATAATTTCCGAGAAATTTACGCAATATAATATTACGAAGAACATGGAAACAAAACCAGCATTTTTTAATGTTAATAAACTGAAAGAATAATTAAGTAATAATAAAATCTTGAAAGAATAATTAAGTCTCATAAAGACACAAGAAAGAACATTTATTTATAAGATATCTTGCGATACAGCCTATGTGAGTCAGACAGTTAAAAACAATAGTCTTTGAGCACAAAAATAATATTAGTTGCAATACGAACAAACAATCGTCAATCAGTGATTATGCACTGACAATGAGCATAGGTTGGATCTTGGTCATGAATTTGAATGGAAGAATGTCAAAATACTAGATACAGAAAAATTTTTAACCAAAGATCTAATCTTGTAAATATTATACATACATAAAGTTTTAAAGGGAAAGCCTCAATTTGCAGTTTGAATTCTTACACCATGCATATGCTTTGATTTTAATAAAATTTAAATAAAGTATAATGTTGATGGGGTGTCGTTGCGTTTGGTCCTCATGATATTGTTATCGTTATTTATATGTATATATATATTATAATCATGAAGTGTTTGGGCGATCGCGTAACATTTCGCGACCGGCGCTATTAAACTAATCGATCGGTAGAAACTAATGGATTCGCACAGTAAAATTTTTGATATTTTATAAAAATTCAAATTGTATTGTAAGTTGTACGGAGCGACAGAGAAAAAGGCGATATTTCGATTATCATATGTCGGGGCGCATATATGTATCCCAGATCGATGCATGCTGCACCCTGTTGATAATCCGCGAACGGCCATTATTAATAATTGATAAACCAATTACATTGTTATCATTATCTGCTGGCCGGCTGCGTAAAAGACGCCCTCTAGTTAAGTACGTTCTCTAGCCATAATCTGATGTAGTAGTGCTTGAGGTTATACTCTTGCGTGAGCATATGTAAGCATGCTTTTTTGACTACTTTTAGCGGCACTGCGAGTATCTCGTTCTTACGATACTAATTAGCCCGTTCGTTTTGTCCGATCAGAGAGATGCACCTTATGCTTGCTTGAACTCCATGGACACATCTTACGCAATCCTGTGCATTCCATAATGCACGTTAGATTTTTCATCTTTTATTTTCGTTTTTTCAACTTAAAACAGTTTTATAATTTTATTTATATGTAAAATATCCTGCGCTCGTAGCATTAGTACACACGTTATTTTTACACGATTATTTTACATATACAGATATTATTTATATTCTCTTTAATTATTATATATTTATTTTAAAACAAAAGTACAAACATTTGTTATGAATCATAATATAAACACAGAAAGACCATGTTAATATTTGTTTTTAGAGATTAAAAGAAAATTTAATTGTTATAGACAAATACCGATGGAGGAAAAATAACAAAATTGCACAATACAGATAGTTTATTTATTGTTGCTTCATTAGTTTATATTATGCTGCATCGTGTTGGCTATGATGTAATTAGAATCTCTGCTCTCTCATATTCGAGAGGTATGAGTGGTTAAGAAGTTTAAAGAGAATGTGATCGTGGGAGGTCATTGTTTCGAGAAGGGTTTCGAATGCAGAACTTGGTTCCGATTCATTTGCATTATATAAACCGAAGGTTTCAAATTTAATTTGATATAAGGAAAATTTTGCGATTAAATGTTCTATTATCTATAGTTTGCAACTGTGATGTAATTTAATACAAAAAAGTCGATGATCATTGGCTCTATAACTAATTTGTTCCGTAAATATTACTATGCAGATGACACGACGATTTTAGCGTTTCGCTACATTTCTTATACAATTACTTCAAAATCATTTTAATATATCTTATGTCATAAGAAGATAATGTGAAATTTGCGTTTTATTCTAAATCAACATAACTGTCATTGGTCATATCACTTACGTCATATCGACAATTTTCAAGCTAGTGTTTGAAAGTTGCAAAGGCACATTGCAGAGGGAATAATCTATTAATAAAAGAAAGCAATAATTGACGTATGTATTGATTAGATTTAATGCACACAAGTTATTTATAAAATTATTCTTGCTTTTGTACTGTTCGTAATACGAATTTGCGTAATACGTATTTCTGTAAATCGGATATTCTCGAAACTATAAATTTTATTTTTAGATTTTATTGACATTCCCAGGAGTTGATGAGAGAATTTTATAACTAGAAATTCTGCAAACTGTATGTATACTGCAATATGAAACTTTATACTGACAAAGCCACCTCCGCACAATACTGTGAATGGAAGAAGTTGTTTTCGCAAACACAGAAGCACTTTCCAAGTCTCGAACTTGAATAGCTTGATTATCGAGCATTGGTAGTTATACTAGAACCAGGCACTTACAACTTAGGTCAGTCTGCGATTAAATTATTTCCATAACAAACACAAAATGAAAAATTGAAAAATATTGATTAAATCAGTTGGCGCTATTTATGAAAAAATAGGCTGCGAGCATCGCTGCATATTTAGTATGCGTTGAAAATTGTTTTAATTAAACAATGTTATGCATCACCTAAAGCTATTTTTATATCTTTATATCTAGCTTTATATTTCTGCATGTTCCTGCATTATGAAATTATTTTATCTAAATTTTCTCGCTGCTGAGACTACTTTATTATAATAATTGCAATCCCCACAAATCGCGATTCATACATGCAATCTTCTCACATACATTTAATTTGCAAAAAATGTTTTCAAGAAAAGTTGATAATTCACAATAATTGTCTTTTTATAATATAATAATCCTCACACACTATTAGAACATAATTATATTAAAAATATAGCAATCATACAAACAAACACTCTATTTTCTTTATATTTTTGCTATCACATTTATATAGACCAAATTATTCTATTGTTCCCATTGATATAATAATTTGAAAATTGCTAACTAAATAAAAAATACAGAACTTAAGCGTGATGGTTATGCGCTATGCATGAAAATAGACAACAGATGATTTTCATAAACAATTAGAGAATGTTGTTCGAGTTGTTCTCAATATACAGAATAGTCGACTTATATATACGTCGGCTTTAAACACGATACGGTGCAAACGCTCTCATAATTACCGTCGCGTAAAATCGATATCGATAAAATCGATAAATCACTTCTCACGAGAATATTAGACCCGCCAGCCGATAACAGACGCCTGTATATTGGAGCTCGCCCATTCTGGATAGCAAGTCACCGGCAGTTCTGGGCATCGTTCCAAACCTTGAATGACGACCACTCGAAGAACTTACGCAATGACGCGTGCCGTGCCAACGCATTGCAAAAACACGCTCATTCAAGATTTTCGCCACCACTGCTGCTGACAAAGGCATTGCACTTGCTCCCAATTTATGTTTATTTGCCTTTATGTTTATCTCTATTTTTTTCACTAGCTTTCATGCATTTTTGATTATTATTTACTTTTAATACATAAAACAAAATTATGATTTACCGTTGATTTTTATTACAACTCGTGGTGACAATTAAATCGTTTGTTTCTCAGATTATCATTAAATTAATAAACTGAAAGTTGTTTACTTGTAATTAAAGAAGTATTGCATTGTGCATTTTGCCAACCTACCATACCTTGCCATACCTATTGCCAACTGCAATTGCAAAGTTTTATTTTAAAGTATCGCGAATAAATTACACATTATTTTATTATTTTGATGACTTGAACTCGAATTGCACGCGTTTGACTTACATAAGTAACGCATAACGATGTCGGATTCATTGACGTAAAGAATCGCGAAACCACTTTACAACAAACTTAATTACTTGCCTCGATGTAATGAAGTTAGTATAAGCATTAAAGTCTAGATCAAGATCTGTTGTGCTAATAATTTGCATGTACAACATATATATTTATTTTAATAATTTTGTGTAACAAGTTGAATCCTTATTTTGCACTCTGTAATATGCATTAATTTCATTTTTCCATGTGTTTCTCTGATATATGTATACACACAGTTTAAAAGTCAGAATAATATCTGGTAATATTTTATCACATACATCGAACATCACCATTATAATTAATAACAATAAATAAAAATGTTATATTACTGTTATTAATATTTCTATGTAATAAAATATAACATACATATTACATTAAACATAATGACATATTTTTTCTTTTCAGGTTGCTGGGACTTGTAATATTTATTATATCAGCACACGTGCATGATTCTCTCGCAAAACATGTAAGTTCAATTTATATAAACAACAAATTATAAAATATCAAAATAATGTTAAAAACGTCACGAGCGTTATATCGAAGGCCGGAATAAAGCCACTAGAGTCTCAACATGTCTTGATGGAATTCCCTCCGGTTTTATTGCCTTCTCTTTTGATGATGGTTCGGGTTTCAAGGCCTCCCGGTCTCTCGCGCAGATAATCTTGATATATTTCGTTCCTAGGACCCAAGTCACAATAGAGAGCATGAAGATTCCGTAAACCATTACGGCGTAACCAATAATTACGGATAGCCTTCGAACATTTAACTACAATCTATATTTCTCTTTCTAAATTCATTCATTAACCCGTTGTTTTATACTATAATAATTTCTCTCTCTCTCTCTCTCTCTCTCTCTCTCTCTCTTTCTTTCTTATTATGGTATCTTTGAAATTATACACATGTTATATATTCTATGATATAAAAACAATTTTTAATACTTTTTGTATTCTTGATTATATAATACTTCTTTTTTCTTATTTACAAACTATAAATATTGATTTTAATACAGTTCTTATATGTGTCTTATTAAACGTTTTAAAACTATTAAATGTTTAATCTCCACAACGCGAGTTTTTATCAGAATTTTAAATATAACAATTTTAAAAATAGTGAAGTAATGTCATTGCGAGTCGACAACTGATGTTGGTGTGTATAATAATTTTTATTGTTACAATATCCAACCACACACAAACTGTGCGTCGCATTTTAGTCAATTTTTACATTCTTAAAACATAGTTCTTACATGAAGCCGGAATTCATTGTAATGAATTAAATTGACGATCAGTTTAATATTTTTGATGCTAACAAGCATCTACAAGCATCTACAAGCATCTATAAGAATTTTTCTCTCGCCAAACTTAAAATTATTTAATTCTAAAAGTAGGGGGCTAACTTTGTATAGGCACCAAACTAAAGAAATGACAATTTTAAATTAAAGATAAATTTTACCATTTTTGTTTTTTTTAGTTACAATATTGCGATTTAATATAATATTGCAGCCGATTCTTTTTAGAGGCAGGGAATGAACGTGACGCGCACGCGAATATACGGTTAAACACAATATTTATTACGCGTAGCTTTCCGATCGTACACATCTTATAATGAACAGAGAAAAAAATGTCTAAAAATGCGTTTTATGTTGCGAAAACTTCTTTTTTTGTCGTAACTCTTTTGCTTCTCGATTCTTCTTGCCTAGTAACGCCACCAGTATCCAGAAGCGCGCTTAGTAATACATGGATCCAGAAGGAAGGGCGTGCACGTCCCTGGCTATCATTTTGGCGCGTATTCAACAATAATTTTAAAAATTTTGTTTTTTTTATATTGATGTTTGACATAACGATTAAAATATTTCAAAGACTTTTTTTATTTACTTATTTATTTTTGGTAAAACCTTTTTCATAATTTCATACAATTATACAATCTCTTATCTTATTTTAATTGTCGTCATTTCGGTCATAAAATTTGAGCCGCAAAGGAATAGTTCTTAGTGAGATGGAGAAGCTCGACAATAGTTTGAAAGTATAATGGTCAGATCAGATTAGATTTGAGATGGAAGTTGTAGTATTCCAACAACTTCTTCCAAGAAGAGAAAATTTTGTTAGAAAATATTCTTGTGATCGTTGATGAGTAAGAAAATGAAGGTGTACATAGGATGAATGCAGATAAGAGGGACGAACTAGATCGCAGTAATCTTGTTGCATATACATGGCTACTGTGCTTCTGTAATGGCTATTGTTTTACCTATATCCACAATTCGCGCGCGATTTACACGAGAAATAATTTATAACCCGAGAGATAAGATTTTGTTATATATAGTGTATTCATTTATGACTGCGCATAACCTTGAACATTTTATATATATTATCTCATATTAAAAAAAGCGCAAAGTATTTTCTTGCCCAAGAATAACTCATGGGACAAGACAAATTGTCAAATACCATGTTGCTTAATTGCGCTTTTAATTTTTTGATTTTTATATATAAATTAATATAAACAATTTAACAGTTTAATTGGAATTATATAGAGTTCAAAAATTGGATGTTGGCAACGTATAGTTTTAAGCACATTACAAATATCAGGAAAAAGGAAAATGTATATATATATATATATATATAT